CTTAATCTTTAGATAAGGGCCAAAAAAAAATTGTGTTCTCTTTAGAATAACTGTGACAAAAGTTCAGGTGAGAAGTCCCATATCACAGCACGACATAATATTGGCAGAAATATATTTTATGGGTCGTCAGAACAATTTGACGTTCCAACAAAATTATGATGTCAGGAGCGACTTGGTTTCTGCCACTTCCAAATGGTACATCTATCCTGACATCTGAAGCAGACTAAAAAGGACAGTGAAGAATTTCACCATCAAGAATGGGACTCGGTAGCTACAAAGAGTAATTTGATTCTACACAAAGTAGTAAGGTGCTGCAACCTAGAAACATAAATTGTTACCAGTTCAGATTTGTTATGTGTATATGGTAATCCAGACCAAAGCTGATAACAGTTCTAACAGTTGCAGGTCACACAAAATCAATACATGGGAAATTCACTAAGCATTAGATAAATTTGTTTAGTGTGACAAACTCTTATAATCTCAACTGCATGCCATATCTTAATTTCCTATGTCATTCACTGCAAATTTTAGAACGTTGTTACAAAATCTCATGATGTGGATGCTATCTATAACTCCATGAGCAGTGCGAATAAGAGGTTTTGCACATACCATTTGGATGTGGGCGAACTCCCGGAGTGCTTACCTGAACTTGGGATTATTCTGAAGTTCTCACCTGAACTTTTGTCTCAGTTAGAACCCCAATGATCGTTAAAACCACATTGAGAAAATGTTACGAAACATAACAGGAAGAAATCATCTTAATTAGCAAAGAACGTCCAAACTGAACATGGATAACATGAGGTACAATTTCAGAAAAATTGATTAGTTTACCCTAAGCATCAGGGCAGAGCACAGCTCACAGGCTGCATCCACTGGTATCATGGGCACTGTGTGTACTACAACTCTTACTCTGCAGTTGCCATTCTTGGCATGAGACTTGAGACATTCTAAGATGGAGGGGGGGAATTGATCTGATGCTTCCTGTATAGTACAATTCATACATAAAGGAATGCAAAACTGAAAAATAGCTAGGTAACCCAGAAACAATAGAGGAACAACCTTTTATTAGCGGATATGCAACATATCACTCATGAAGATGGAGATTATAATAGTAATGATTGTAAAATAATGACCTGCATTTTGAGTTATTCATTATGCCATTCACAGCATAACACTAAGAATGTTAGAACTGCTTCTGAGGGCCACAATACATATACCTTTGAGCAAATTAGGAAGATAATTATGTAGCCTAAAGCAGGGAGGGGTTCCAAGCTCGCCATAGTGGTCGTTGGGTTGGTGTGCAGCTGAGGCACAGAGCCACCAGATCGAGCGCATCAATGCTTTGGAATTGATGACCTTCCCACTTCGCGACAAGCACATCGCCAGTTCGAACTCCCTCGTCGCCACCATACTGCTGGGCTAGGGCCGTGGAAACTTCCCGCACCGCCTGCTCTACATGCCCCTAGCGTCGCTGCCGCCGGCCATTGCCTCGCCGTGGACAACGAGAGATGAGCCGGGTGGCGCGGCAGTGGGTTAGTGGCGCTGCAGATGAGGTTAAGGAAGAATCATTTGCGAACGCTGAGCCGAGGCGAACAAGCGCCGCGCGGAACGGATCCCCAGCGCCAGCACCATAGACCGGTAGAGGCAAGTCTCAGCGACCGGCACAAAGGAGCAGAGGAGAGGGCGCGGGGAGGAGCGAAGGTGGACGGGGAACTGGGTGTGGCGCAACATCGAAGAGGAGGTAGGCGCGGTGGCGGAGGCGGCGACACGGTGGAAGGGGGACGCGGAAGGGGATCGGGATTCAGGGAAGGGGCTAGCAGATAGGTTGGAAAGGGAAGAGAACCGACGTGCGGTCAAACCGACTAAAGCGCATATACACTTACAGTTACAGGTGGGGCCACGAAGCGGCTAAAAGCCTCAATCAACCACAACGCTGCAATCCTGGGAGCTTAGAAACTGTACAGATGCAGCTTGTGTTTCAATGGGGTCATAGGCCATGTACAAGTGCAGAAAATGTGCAGAAAGCCCTTTATACAATGGGGAAATACAAAAGGCTACACAACTATATATATATAGTACTCCAACAAAAATATTCCTATTTATGTCTCCTTTTTCAGGCATGTTAAGAAGAAACAAGAAGCACTGGAAAATAGGTTCATCATTTCATGATCGTCTCTTGCAAACGTAGCAAAGATTCTGAGCTGGCTTGTTCTGTCAGTCAATCAAAATCCTTATATATATAAAGAGTACTGTTACAAGACTCAAAGGCAGGAACTAGGCGAGGTGTGGAAAGCGAAAGATCGAACACCCAGACTAAAACTTAGTATGGTCTATTACACTTCAAAGAACATCTCAAGCAAACTGAGACTATTATGTACAGTACGATGCAGTGAAGACTCCAATGTCGATGACAACTTAAAACTGGTTTTTGTTGGCTGTTCTGAGCCAACTAAAGATAAAGAATGACCTAAAAGCTTTGCTCTCTTTAGTCATACTTTCTTGTCATTTAGCCCGATGCACTTAGAGTCTCTTTTAATAACACCTCAAGAGGGGTAGGGGTTTACTTTATTTCATAAAGATGAAGAGAGTTGCCCAGTTAATTAAAGGAAACCAAGCAAGAACCAGATACAAAGGGCACAAAGTCCCCCACCAGTCGCCAAGTTGGCGGAATGGGAGACAAACACCACCACACACACCAACACACCATCGAAACCCCGAAGGCATTGCACCACCTTGCCGTCATTAGCACTGACCATGCAAGTGAAAGAGACCAAACCGCTACGGAAGGAGTAGGGATGGGCCACCCAAACATCATAGGTGGTGAACCGCGCCACCCACCTTCTATCGAAAGATCTTTGCTAAATGACACTCCCTCCGTAAACTAATATAAGAGCGTTAGATTACTATTTTAGTTATCTAAACACTCTTATATTAGTTTATAGAGGGAGTATTTTTTACCAGAAAGTGTATGTTGGTAACTTAGTGTTTGGAGCACCGTTGAGGTGTTTGCAGCCCATAGAATTTATTAGAAACACCCAAAATCTATGAAAAAATAACGAGAAAGTGCAGCCAGTTGCGTCTGAAAACTATACCTAAACTGGAGAATCCTGGATGCCACGTATCCTGGATTCCTACAGGAAAACTCCAAAACTCTCGTTTGGATGTCATGCAGGAAATTCACAGGAATCTAGACACAAGGAGAAGAAAACATGAGGTCCTCCAAAAATTTCTATGAAATAGCCCAATCCATAGGAATTTCAAAGAATTGTAGGGATAGCTTTTCCTTTGTTCCAAACGGTACCAAAGAAATATTTCCTACAGGAATCATATCCTCCAAAATTCCTATGTTTTTCCTTCGTTCCAAACAGGGCCTTATTGTGCATTATGATTTGTGTTGTGTACTATGATCTCAGTTGTCTTTGATTTTTAGCTGGTGTACTTTGGTGCATTTGCTAGATAATTTGACCATTACAGGGTGATATGACTTGCTATATGTTTGTGGCTTGGTAGGATGTGCTTCAGGGTGTGTCACCCAGCATCAGCATGGTCTCTCTAAAAAAAGATACATTTGATTTCCGGGTGCCTTACTGAGAAAAAAAGGAGAAGGCAAGTCAATTCTCTACCTTGATTTTTGTAGGGAGATTACATTTACATGTTACCTCCATATAAAATTTGGCGAAATCTCTTTAAAAAAACTTCAATACTGATTATGCGGAAACTTATTTCGCACACAATTATATCTTTCTCACTACCTGCAGGCATGTTACAGAATAAAATATTATACGAGTGTATCTTTAAATTTCTAACTAAAACATCTTACAAGCCATTTCTTAGCATAACAATGACTTTTAAAAGACATGGACCAGTCTGACCTTGGTGAACCAATTATTGAAGTTCCAAACATTCCTCTTGATAACTTAAATATTCAGGTATGACCCAGATGCATACCAAAAAAATATCAGGCTGAATATTTATCATAAGCATCACAGCAACCTAAATCAGGATTCTTCAGTCTTAGCAGTGAGTTATAAGTTGAAACAGAAGACAGAGAAACAAGATAATAGACAAAAAATAAACCTCATAACATAGCATGACACTAACATATCTAAGAAGTGTGAAATACAAACTTAAAAAGTAAGTACAAATGAATGATTTATACGGTTTTGTAGGAGATACAAGCTTAATACCCGAATCAGAATATTACGGAGATTGTATGCTTTTCTCACTAAAACATTCTTATGAAAGTGATACATGCAAAAAATGGGATGAACGACTGTAAAACACTCAACTATTCTACTTTTCCAACATAACCACTTACTGCTACAATGTAACTACAGAAATCACTTCTTACTTTTTTAATGTGAGGTCTTCTCACTTCCTTATATTTTAGAAGACCCTACCTCATGGCTTGTTTTGGTTTCAATTAACCAGTTGAGTGAAACACTAGAAGTACTAACCTATGAACTATTCAATTAACCTAGCACTGTATAGGTAGTGTTTTGTCAGTCCATCCCATCACCAGCTTTCGTCTTAACATAGTTGCAGTTTTCGACAGAGCAAACCTGATGGCAGAAGAGCACATGCTGAGAAATGCTTGAACACATGTCTGGGTTTACAGTCCATCGTGGGTAATTCTGTACCACGTCACAGCATCTTCTTGATTGCAGGATTCACTGGAGCCGGTGCTTGCTTACATAGATTGCACCGTGCAATGCTAACACCTCACGAAAGCATTTCACATTTGTGACTGCAACATGAGCAATTTAGCACACCCTTGGCAAAGGACTCACTGCACAAGCAGCTCATGAGCTGTTGGAAGGCAGCCAACATCCTTAACATGTGAACTCAGCCTATCAACCATCTCGGATATCTGGTCCGAGTCTGAGTGTTTTCTGTCCCCCACCGTGAACTCATGGAATGCCTCATCAAGTTCAATCCAACTTGATCCTGCTGACTTCTGAGACCCGGTTCCTTTCATTTGCATCCTTGCCTTTGCCATGTCACTCCACTGCCCAGCCTCTGCATAGATGTTTGAAAGGACAGCATAGTTCCCTGCATTGGAGGGCTGCAGCTTACTGAGCTCGTTCACTGCAATTTCTGCATACTCCACGTTCTTGTGCAGTCGGCATGCACTGAGAAGGGACCCCCATATTACCTCATTAGGGTCCCAAGGCATGCTTTTTATCAGGTCAACAGCCTCCTCGATGAGCCCTCCACGACCAAGAAGGTCAATCATGCAGCCATAATGCTCTATCTGTGGCACAATGCCATAGTCCCTCTCCATATTGGAGAAATACCGGCGTCCCTCTTCCACAAACCCCATGTGTGTGCATGCACTAAGAACGTTGATCATTGTCACAGCATCAGGACGGAACCCTTGTAGCTTCATTTGGGCAAAGAAGTCCAGCGCCTTGTCTCCATGCCCATGCATCGCAAATCCCCCAATTATGGTGTTCCATGACACTGAATCCTTCTCAGCTATTTCAGTGTCAAAGACATAATCAGCCCGGTTTACGCATCCACACTTGCAAAACATGTCAATCATTGCATTGCACACATGGGTCGACCTCCCCAGTTGCCTTGTCCGCACGTACCGGTGAATCCTCTTCCCAAGAGCAAGCGAGCCTGACTCTGCACATGCAGCCAAGATACTCACAACCGCAGCCACATCAAGTTCCACAGCAGCTTCCTTCATCTGAGTAAACAACCGTCCAGCCTCCTCAACAAGCCCATTCTGGGCACATGCCGAGACCATTATCGTCCACGTTACCAAGTTCTTGGTTGGCATCTTATCAAAGATCACTCGAGCCATCTCCATGTCACCCTTCTTACAGTAACCAGACACCACCGTCGACCACGACACCACATTCCTCTCTGGCATGCACTGAAACAGCTCGAACGCCTCCTCCATCTTCCCAGCCTTGGTGTACCCGTCCAGCACGGTGTTCCAGCTTACCGTATCCTTCTCCGGCATCTCGTCAAACATCCTCCTCGCACTTGCCAGCTCCCCCTGTCGCACCATCGCAGCCATGGCCGAGTTCCAGGATACAGTATCCCGTCTAGGCATTTCCTCGAACACCTTGCTGGCGTCCAAAAACCCGCCGTTCTTGGAGTAGGCGTCGATCAGCGCGTTCCCGACATAGGTGTCCTCGATGGACCCGAGTTTAACGACGTGGGAGTGCACCGCTCTGAGGGGGTTCAAGCCCGCGGAGGAGAGCGCCTTGATGAGGAAGGAGTAGGTGAAGCTGTCCCGCTGGGGCATGGCGGAGAAGACAGAGACCGCGGCGTGGGGCAGGGCATTCAGCGCGTAGGCGCGGAGAAGGGTGTTCGGGAGGAAGGTGGTGGCGTGACGATTGGGGAAGGAGGCGAAGACGAGGCGGGATGCCGGGAGGCGGCGCTGGAGCGCGTATGAGGAGATAAGCTTGGAGGCGGTGAGCGGGTCGAGGTGGATACCGTGCTTGAGGAGCTGCGCGTGGAGCTCCTGCACGTGGCGGAGGCGCTGGAGGCCGTGGGGCAGTGACGCCAGGTGCTGCTCAACGAGCCGGCGCTGCGACGGCGCACCCCACCGCGGCGCCGGCCGGAGCGCAGAGGCAGCGGTGGACATTGGCGTTCGGACTGGCTATGGCGCCGCTGTGGTTGCCGCCGGAGAGGGGGCGGTGGTTTGCGGTAATTGTTGCCGGAGAGGGAAGGGGAGCTGCTCAGGCCAGGAGAAGGCCCTGCGGATGTGGTCTTGCTCGATGACATGTGGGTCAGCGCCAAAAACCTTCTCCCTGGATGGCAGTGTGCTACTACAAGGGGAAAAAAAATTATATGAGACCAGGTCTCATATAAAACAGGTGAGACCCGCTCTGATGGATGACATGTGGCATTCACAAATCACAAAGTATCTAATCTCCCCCCCTGATTTCAGGTGGGGGTGGAGTAGATGCTTTGTGATTTGTGAATGCTACGTGTCATCCATCAGGATGGGTCTCATAGAATTATTTTCCACTACAAGGTATAGCCTTTTTTTTTGAGACAAGCTAGAGGGTATAGCTGGCCAAACAGGCCGTGCTTCTCGTGGTAGAAGCACGCACGACACAGCCTATATGGGCAAATGCCCGGCACGCGGCACTTTTTTTTTGAATTTTTGAATATATGACCTAAGAAACAATCCAATAGGCCCAAAAATATAGCCTAGCAGACAGAAAAGCACGCAGCCCAAACGTGTTAAATGTGCCACGGGTCGGCCGATTGCTAAATGTGTCGTGCCTGGGCCGAGGAGCAAGGCACGTGGGCCAGCACGGCATGACCCGTCTAGTAAACGTGGATGTACGGGTCGTGTCGTGCCAAACACGGTTAGCACAGGTTAGGCCGTATTGATCCATTTGGCCAGGTCTACGTGCTTGCCCAACATGTCACATGCATGACCTGGGCCACGAGGCGAGGCACGCGCGTTGGGCCAGCAAGCGCCCGCTTATTTTATATTTATTAAAATTATTTATAATGTATAGGTTCGAAAAACAGCCCAAAAAGGTCTTTAAAAAACAACTCAATTTGACTCAAAAGCATCATGTGGCACAAATGTCGGCCCATGCCAGTCCGTTTACTCATGTGTCGTGTCTGGGCCACATGACGAAGCATCCATGTTGGTCCGGCATGACCCACTTATACGGGCCTCGGCTTGCATTGTCATGCCCGACCCGTTTAAGGGTGGGTCATGCCATCCCGTTCGCCAGGTAGGCTAGAGGGTGACATGCGCTTTGTTGCGCCATCCTTCAGTCATGAATTAAGCCCTTTTTCTGAACTAGCACAAATGCTTGTGCATTGCAACGGATGAAAATATCAGTTTCTATGAACCATGGTTGGCCGGGTTGAGGAACTATGTCACCGGACAGTCGATCGCTGATGACAAACAAAAGATGCATCATTTGAGGATCATGACATGGAGCTTAGGACTTGGGTTATGATTTGAAGTAAATTGATGTGATTGACAACGTTCTTTATGAAAAGCTTTCGATTTATTCATCAAACATCATGACGGTATAAAGAACATCAAAAGTAATCTACATCGATGTCGTGCATGAAAAATAAAATTGATGCAAATTTAAACATCAGAAGTAATATACATCAATGTCATAAGTTAATTCCTTCCTTTAATTTTGCACCAATAGTTTATGGAAATAACAACTGACAACAGTTAGCTATGGGGAATTTCGCAGCGACCCCCTTTTCCATCATTGCATGAATCTCGGTGCAAGATCGCTACCATGTCAAATGTGAAACTAGGTTGTTGTAAGACAAAAGACAGCGAACGTTTCACTTCCTCAAAACAATCCTCGCCACCGACTAGCGGCGCAGACCCCCACATGGGAGACCTGGGTTCGAATCCCAGGGTGTTGGGAAACGTAGTAGAAAAAACAAAAAAAATCGCCCTACGATCCGCCAAAAACACTGAAGATGCAATAGCGGTTTGAATGGGATCAACTTCGAGTTGCGGCAGAAGAAGACGAGACAGTGTTTATCGTACTTGAAGTCACTCAAACCATCGATGAACGATCCCTCAAACCGACCACGAACGGTCTCTCGAACGAAAGACTGAAAGCACGGCATCTCCACGGATTGCAAGGGATTGTTTGTGGACGGTCTTCTCCACTTGTCAAACTTTCCGATGAACATGTAAGTTGTCATTTATGATTACCAAGTTACAGATGGCGTTTGAGCAACCCCAAAGTTCATCGTACGGTAAGAAGTGACTACGATACTCTCATGGTCCAAGGAAATAAATCACATGTTAATATTCCATGTTATAACAATTGACATCTGATGATATTATCTCAAAGTATAACAAACAAGTCTGGGTCGATTCAATATGATCATTCTTCTAACATCACACTCTCAATGTTGTTTAAGGACTATCGTTACACTTAACGATATCCTAAGATCCGGAAAACATGATCACCAACAACACTTGAGCTAGCACTAAAAAAACACTTCCGAGATGATACGTGTTTGTCACAGTAGGGAACGTTTTCTGTCATGCATGTACATCCATGAAAATTTTGTGATAGAATCAAGATAGTCATACATGTGCTGTCGTAGAAGTGTTCCATGACAATACTGAAATTATCATCACGGAAGTGTCCACTTCCATGATGATAAATGCCGTGTCTTGGAAGTGTTTTCATCAAGGGTAACTGACACGTGGCTTCCATCGTAATGGGTCGCCGTTAAGCTATTGGGTTCCGTTTTGCATCCGATAACCCGTTAACAGCCCAGACTGATGGGGATTTTCCACATGTAAAATTCTCATTGGCCACAGGAACCATGTGTCAGCTCACCATTGGGACAGATAGGCGCCTATGATATGTCGACACGTGGCACGGCCCAATAGTGGCCCATTTAGCTTACAAAGGCCTGCCCATTTGACTTGGTCAAAAGCTAGCGGGTCGGCCCATCAAAAGCTTGTTAACGGTCTGTTCACATATAGCCCATTTTACGGCTCGATAACTCACGACCCATTATGGCCTTTCCGAGTTCGGCCCAACACTGTCATGTGGGACTTCCATTATAATACTAGCCCATTTCACTTTCGGCCCATGTACGACCCATGATGGCTTTCGGCCCATATGAGGCCTTTCGTCCCTTTGGGCCCTTTAGTGGCCCATGGTTACTCACAACAGGAATTAGCCAATTTGTCGTCTGCCATGGCAGATGGCAAAGGACCAGAAAGCTGATGACAAAGGTCTTTGTCATTAGCCGCGGACGGCAAACATGTCCGGCACTATAAGTTGCAGCAATGAGCTTCTTTGCCGTCTGTTTTCGTGCAGCGGACGGGAAATACATTTGCCATCAGCTTTCCTAGGGAGGCAAACGGCAAAAAACATGGACGACAAATCATTTTTGATTGTTCCATGTTGTTATATTATCATTCTTGGATGTTTTACAATCATTTTATAGTAGCTTTATATCATTTTTTGGGACTAAGCTATTGACATAGTGCCCAGTGCCAGTTGCTGTTTTTTTGCTTATTTTTTTACTTGGCAAAAAATCAATACCAAACGGAGTCCAAACGCAGTGAAACTTTTTGGAGATTTTTTCTCGACCAGAAGACACAAGATGGCCCAAAGAAGTACCAGAGGGGTGCCCCGAGGGGGGCACAACCCACCTGGGCGTGCCTGGAGGCCTCCCGCACTGCCTCTTTACCCTATAAATACCCAAATATTCTACAAACCCTAGGGGAGTCGACGAAACACAATTCCAGCCGCCGCAAGTTCCAGAACCATGAGATCCAATCTAGACACCATCACGGAGGGGTTCATCATCCTCATTGGTGCCTCCTTGATGATGCGTGAGTAGCTCATTGTAGACCTATGGGTCCGTAGGCAGTAGCTAGATGGCTTCTTCTCTCTTTTGATTCTCAATACAATGGTCTCTTGGAGATCTATTTGATGTAACTCTTTTTGCGGTGTGTTTGTTGGGGTCCAATGAACTTTGAGTTTATGATCAGATCTATTTTATCCATGAAAGTTATTTGAGTATTGATCTCTTATATGCATGATTACTTATAGCCTCGTATTTCTTCTTCGAATCTTTGGTTTAGTTAGGCCGATTAGATCGATTTTTCTTGCCATGGGAATAGGTGTTTTGTGATGGGTTCGATTGTGCAGTGCTCTTTCCCAGTGACAGAAGGTGTTGCAAGACACGTATTGATCGTTTTTATTAAGGATAACAAGATGGGGTCTATTCCTACATGAATATATCCTATCGACATCATGTCATCGTTGTTATTGCATTACTCCATTTCTCCATGAACTTAATACACTAGATGCATGCTGGATAGCGGTCGATGTATGGAGTAATAGTACTAGATGCAGGCAAGAGTCGGTCTACTAATCTTGGACGTGATGCCTATATAATGATCATTGCCTGGATATCGTCATAGTTATTTGAAGTTCTATCAATTGCCCAACAGTAATTTGTTTACCCACTGTATGCTATTTTCTTGAGAGAAGCCACTAGTGAAATCTACAGGCCCCGGGTCTATTGTTTATCATATTTGCTTCGAGATCTATTTTTATTTGCTTGTATTTCTAGGTCTATTATTCTAAAAACCCAAAAATACCTTGCTGCACTTTTTCTTTATTTATTTTATTTTGTTTTATCGAGAGACCTATCCAAAATCATACAAATCAATCTATCTTTTACCCGAGAGGGATTGACAACCCCTCTTACGCGTGGGGTTGCAAGTATTTGTTCTTTGTGTGCAGGTACCATTTACACAGTGTTTCTTGGTTCTCCTACTGGTTCAATAACATTGGTTTCAGCACTGAGGGAAATACCTACCATAGTTGTGCTGCATCATCCCTTCCTCTTCGGGGAAAAACTAACGCGGACACGAGCCATCAAGAAAGGACCACTAGCGCCGTCGTCGAGGAGACATCATCAACATCTCCTCTCCTTGCAATTTACATTATTTGCCATTTGCCTCTCATTTTCATCTCCCCCACTTCACAAAATTTTCCTTTTTATTCGCCTTCTTTTCATTTGCCTTTTTCTTGTTTGATCTTTTGTTTGCTTGTGTGCCATGTGTCTTCTATTTGCTTGCATCTTCGCTTGCTAAAA